GATATAATTAAAAAATCTCTTTCCTATCTTTCTCTTCTTCTTCTCTCTTCCTGCCTTCCATTCCTTCCTTTTTCCTCTCAGCTCTGAACACCATGACCGTCATACTGACGAGGTCCAGTCGTGGTGTTGAGCTAAGACGTATATGACTTAATTGACCGAAACGTTTTAACTCTTACTCACTTATTTTTCTTACACTAGCTATATTTATACATCTATGCATGCACAGTTCTATTCCTGCCCTATTTAAGCTCTTAATATTACTCGTATGCCACAACCATGCAAGAAACAGCTTACCGTATGATGAGGATTCCCTGTTTGATTTTGGCCGCTCTTTCGCGCAGTGCATGAGTACCATGGTATTTGTTCAAGCTTTTGTGCTTCTTATAGTCAAAATCTGGCGGATAATAGAAATTCTGTCCCTTTCGTTCACCCATTTTTGGCGCTTACTGAAAAATTTACAAGAGTTTTACACTGGAGCCGATAATATGGAACAAATGCACTCATAGTTTTCTCCCAAAAATATATGAAATGTCAAAACGAGTTCCGGGAAATCTCCAAATGGGCATGAAAGTCCATGAAAACTCTTCTGTAACACAAAATCTCTAGCTAAACGAGGTGGCTACTCGAGTAGCTGACATCGTCAAAATACTTTCACTCCGTAAAAATCCAACAACTGCGCAGCTGGTAATTCATCAGAGCAAAAATCCAGCACGAATTTCCTCCCCGACTAAAAATTGATGCTTAATCGCTAGATATAACATAAATGAAACCCTTTTATCAAATTTTAAGCAGATTTCTGATATCAAATAGACACTGATCTGACCACTAATTTTTAATTTTTATGCTTCTGCTACGAAATTCTGCAACCCTCTTGCCTAGTCTATGCCTCTTGCATTCAACTTCCCACATTTTTATGAGTTTTTTTGCAACTATGCAATGCAGGAAACGCATACTGACGAGGGGTTGTCTCTGTGTTTATGTGTATATGCGTCTGTACCGATTTTTCATCTCAAGACCTGCAAAAGCTACTGGACTGAAACTTTGGGGACTTAATCTACATGCACGTACGGGCCCCAATCCCCAAGCGCTCTTACCCACGTGGTACCTACGTGCGGGCCCGTGAAAGTTTTTTTCGGGTAAGTTGCTAATACGAGAGCCAGGAAAGCCAGAAAGCTGAAATTTTAAGGGGGTGTTTCCTGACAGCCCTGGCGGCCAGTCTTAATTTGTCTAGCTAGAAGCATCTGCCGGGAAAACCGATGCCGGTAGCGACAAAAACTGTGGGGAACTGTGCAAAAAACGCATCTTCGCACCGGCAGCGGGTGCGTTAGCCAATTATTTAACCAGCGAAAATTTCTCGTATCATTCGGGTGCAGCATTATGTTCATCCCACTCTTCTATTCCCCCGTCGTCTCTCCTCTGTTTATTGCCTACATTTTTCGAAAAGGAAATATTCAATATGGAAGTAAAACCATTGGCAGTCGTCTACCAATCCAATCCAGAAAAAAACGCAGCTCAAAGTTTATTCGCGACAAATTTGAAAAAAAACGAATTGAGCTTCAGCAATGTACTCGTAAAAGCTATGTACATACAACAAGCACAAAAGTCATAGTTAACAATGTCTTCTTTGATTATGCCACCCGCATCTCCCGACCTCCTCGCCCGTTCCTCTTCTTTTTTCTTTGACCCTCGCCTTTTCCACTCCTTTCCAACGCAAAACTTTTTGCAAAAATACGGTGAAAAAAACTCTTCCCCCTCAGAATAATTAGAACAATGTTAGCAGAAAATACAGTAGATGCGCGCCTAAAAACATCACAATTTCGGGAAAATCTCGTGAAATTTGCCCGCTAGGCAAAAATCTGCAGCAAAATGCATTTTCTGCGAAATTAGATAAGCGGTCTAATCAAATTCAAATCATTTCACTTCTTTCTCTCCTCTCTCACTCTGTTTGCTCCCTCTCTCCGATTTCTCCTTCTTTTGCATATCTGTCTTGTAAATTAGCCACATGACTATTCAGAACATGGCGAGTCCCTGATGATTCCCGCTCCTACCCGCATGCACTGCTCGGTCTGTGTTTATAGCTGAGGGATGAAACACAGAGATTGCATCGTAAAATGCCCTCCAACACATGACACTTAAGACCAATCAATCCTTCTATTGTACTATTTTATATCGCACCGCTTATGTGTCACTGTTTATAGCCGCCTCATTTATACACCGGAGCTTTCACAAGGTATTTCGAGGTTAGAAATGAATCAACGGACGGCATCGACTTCGGTTTCGTTCAGCACGCCATGCCAGAATTTCTCTCTTTCTGTTGTTATAAGCTGAGCAACTTCGGTTCGCGTATGCCAGACGTACACTTTCCTGCAGCCATTTGCTTTCGGCTCCAAATCACTCCTTTTCAAGCCTAGCCCAGTGAGGAAATGCGACTCCTGCAAAATACCAACAAAATTCATCAGTGAATCCTACATAACGAACAAATATTACGATCGGCAATAATAAACGCAGTCGGATATTGCAGAAGCGGCGAGACAGCAACCTCTTTGCTAAGGGTGCTCCAGAAATGTCGCTACCCAAGGAAAAATGTAAAAAAAAAGGGGTAGAACCGCTTGAACGCCAATCAATGAAGTATAAAGAATCTGGCTGGATGGGATAGAATCAACTAAGAGAAGCCCAATCACATTAAAACGAAGTGACCAAAACGTGAGAACCAAGAAAATGAGGAGAAAACGAGCAGGAAATATTTTGTAGAAAAAGGCAGAAAGGAAAAAAGACAAAAAAAAAAAAGAAAACAAAAGAAAAATATATTTTCCACGGAAACTATCAAAACGGTAGCTTAATATTTTGCAGTCAAAGGTTTCATGTTGCATTTTGAGTTGCGTTTAAGCAACTACTACAGTTCCGTGATAAACTGGTATAAACATGTGCCCCCACACCGAGACACCACCAAAGCTTGCCCCACCTAGCGATGTCGAAAAATCAGGAACGATCAACAGTCTTGCGCAGCAAGTGAATGCTACCAGCTAAAGCTCAATCACTGAAAACACAGAGATGGGCACTTGTATTTTTCCCACCCCGAGAAATGCCAAAAAAAAAAAATCTGTGCAATTTTAAATATTTCTAAGCTAATTCTCGCATGGTTGTAGCATACGAGTAATATTAAGAACTTGAACAGGGCAGGATTAGAACTAACTATGCATGTATAGATGTAGAAATATAGCTGGTGTAGGAAAAATAAGTGAGTAAGAGTTAAGACGTACCGGTCCACTAAGTTATATACGTTTTAGCTCAACACAGCGACTGGACCTCGTCAGTATGACGGTCACCGGTGTTCAGAGATGAGAGGAAAAAGGAAGAAACGGAAGGCAGGAAGAGAGAAGAAGAAGAGAAAGATAGGAAAGAGATTTTTTAATTATATCAAATTTAGAGCAGTCCAACTTTAAAAATTATTTCGAGTCCAAAGAAACAGACCTGAAGACCACGCGATATGTTATAGGTGAACGATGCACCGGGGAAGTCAACGACCAGGGAAAGATTGACTGCAAACGCGGCCATGTCAATAGGAAACGGTCGTTCTGGTTTCCATTTTGAGTTGAAAGTTATCCGATTATCTAAAAGACTTTGCAGAATTTTCGGAACATATGCAAGTAATGGAGGCATGGGACTGATGAAGTGCCATTCGCCACAGTGAAATGAAAAATTGGGACGAAATTCAGCGAAAAAGACAACCAAGGTGCTCCAAAATGCACTGAGAAACAGCAAACTCTATAACTTCGTAATAACATTTTGTTCAAAAAAGTAAACTTGCTGAGGTTAATATATTGTTTGTCTCTATAACCCCACTCGTTTCCGTTCCTTATGCCTCTCGTGTTACGTTCATCTTTGTCGTGTTCCCCGTGTCTTCCTCTTACCACCACATTCTTCTTTTCCAGTTATGGCTACCGCAAAGGGAAGTAAAATCTGTAGCTATGACGGCTCCACGAATAATTGTACCAGA